TCTGGTATAGAAAGTTTAGATAATACATATGATGATGGTTTCATACTCATATAATTGTGAATAAATTATGAGTAAATAAAACTTTAGACCTAAAAAACAGAATACAGATTCTATTCAATTACATCAGTAAAATTAACCATGTATGAGGATATGAAATAAAGCTCAACAAATTCTAAAAAGTACATCATACAGACCAGATTGTAGAGAATATAAGTACATATTAATGGCAAAAAGTTATCCACTTAAGAAAAAATAAAGAATGTCTAAATAATTATCAGGAATTTTCAAATGATTTAGAAGTATCAATGAGAAAACTTTCTTTCACTTTCTCTCTCTCTGTCTCTCTTTCTCTCTCTCTTTCACACACATATACTCTCTCAGAGTTAAAAGCAAAATATAACTGAAAGAAAAATGTATAAATAGACTTCAGTGCAATATTGAAAAATAAGAAATAAACAAAACATCCAAGGCAAGAATCTTAAAAAAAAACTACAAATAAGTAAACAGAAGAAGTAAAAGCATAAATTAAATAGAAAATAAGACAAAAAGTGACAGATTAGGGGGAGCATTAAATAAAATTCCCATATACATAGAAAAATATGGAAAATTACCCAATTCATTCTATAAAAATCATGGAAACTTAATATTAAAGTCAAAGAAAAAACAATCTGCCCCTGTGTATGTGTGAGAAAGAGACAGAGAAGCTTAAGTAAAAATAATAGAAATGTGTTTTTTGAAAAAATCATGGCTAAGCAGTGTTTGTGCTAGTCATGTTAAGAATGGTTCAACATTAGAAAAAAGATTAATATAATTTATTATACTAACAAATAAAGGAAAAGCTATATAAACACATTGAGAAGTACCAAGAAAGCAGTGAAAAAAAAAAAAAAAAGAAAATAACAAAGCAACAGAAAACAAATTTAACTGCCATTCCTGTTGTTGAATATCAAGGAGAAGAAAATTTCCATAACCTGATAAAGTGTATCTATAAAAAAAACCTATAACAAACTTCATATTTAATAGTCAACTATTAAACATTGTTTTAACTAAGAGATAAGTCATTAACAGATGAGACCTACTATCATTGCTAATCTTCAACATTATTCTAGAACACGTTATTACATGCATTTAAAAGTAAAATAGAAGAGGGCAATGCCTGTGATTCAAAGGAGTAGGGTGCTGACCCCATATGCCAGAGGTGGCGGGTTCAAACCCAGCCCCAGCCAAAAAATAAATGAATAAAAATAAAAAGTAAAATAGAACAACTATATCTTTGGGGGGAAAGGCAAAGCACTCTCACCTTTTTCTTTTAAAGTAAATGGCATAAGCATTTTCCTGGAAAATGTAAGAAACTATTTGAACAAATAAGATCAGGGTGGTGACTAGATACAAGAATAAAATGAAATCATATCTTCCCTACCAACCAGGAGTAAGCAATTTGAAAATCCATTCGGAAAAAAGAACCTGTTCAAAATACTAACAAAAATCATAATATATTAAATAATAAATCTAAAAGGACATGTGTAAGACATTTATTTATAAAGAAAAAGCATTATCAGACAAAAAAGAGGGCCTACATACCATACTTAAAAGTGGGCAAGGAACTTAAATAGACCTTTCTCCAAAGAAAACATAAAAATGGCCAATAGATACATGAAGAGGTGCTCAATATCATTAATCTTCAGGGAAATAGGAATCAAAACAACTAAGATATGCTTCCTCACTCCCATTAGGATAGCTATTACCAGAAAGTCAAATGATAACAAATGTTAGCAAGGGTATGGAGAAAAGAGACCCCCTGTCCACTGCATTGTTGAAATGCATATTGGTGCAGCCATTATGAAAAATAGTAAAGAGGTTTGTAAAGAATTAAAAATAGAACTATCATATGACCCAGCAACCCTGCTTCCAGGCACATATACACAGGAAATGAGATCACTACCTCATAAAGATATGTGCATTTCCATGTTCATTTCAGCATTATTCACAATAGCCAAGATATGGAAACAACCTAAACGTCCATCAGTGGACAGATGAATAAAGAAATTGCGATGTATATCTATATACACATACGTGCATCTCTGCACAGACACATATACCCCCACAATGGAATATTATTCAGCCTTTCCAAAGGACAGCCTGTCATTTGGTACAACATGGAAGAACCTGGAGAACATTATGCTAAGTGAAATAAGCCAGGCATGGAAAGAAAAATATTGCATGAAAAAAACACTCAAATTTTTAGAGATAGAGAACAAAATAGTGAGTGGTTACCAGGGGTGGAGGAGGAAGGAGGAAATAGGGAGATGTATGGTAGCAGACTGTAAGATGAAAAAGTCTATAGATCTAAAGTGCAATGTTGAGGACTATCGGTAACAAAATTGTACCACATTTAGGATTCCTTCAAATGAGTAAACTTTAGCTTTTTCTTGCCACAAAACAAATGGGTAACTTTGTGATATGATGGATAAGTTAATTTGTTTAACTATAGTAACCCAATGATTCAATATATGTATCCCATAACATTATGCTGTATACCTTACGTATACACAATAAAATTTATTATTTAATGAAAAAGACATACATGAATGAAGATGCATACTAAGATGTCAGTTTCCCCAATTAAACTGTAAATGTGATGTAGCTCAAATAAACGTCGTAATAGAATTATTCAAATAAGCTAATGCTAAAATGTATAGGCTAGAATACTCAAGACAATTTTTTTTAAAAAAGAGATGGAAAAGACTTCTCTTGATAGATTTGAAATCTTACAAAGTGACAATAACTAAATATGTGTGATTTTGATAAGGAAATAGACAAATAGATCAAAGATACAGACTAGAAAAGCCAGAAACTTCTGCACCTATAAGAACTTCCAATATAGTAAACATGAGCTTTCAAATTGTCAGAAACAGACTACTCAACTCAATAAATAACAACTTACTTGAAACACAATAAATTCGGGTTCCTAACATATTATGCCCCATGAATAGGTTTGAGACCCATAAAAGATAGAAATATTTTTAAACATAAATAATAAAAAAATGGAGGATATATTTTATAATTTAGGGTGATGAAGGCTTTCCTAAGAGGGGCATAAAACTCTGAAGTGAAGTTGAACAAGAAAAAATATCAATAGAGCTAATCTCAAAAACTATAAACATAAGTGTTTAAAACATAAATATGATTTAAATTCCAATTTTTAAAAAATGTACAAATCAATAACAAAACAATAGCAACCTGAGCTAGAGATTTTTTAAAAAGCAGATTTCCAGAAAAAGAAACTCAAATGTTTATTACTATATAAAAATATGCTCAATCTCATTAATCTTTCAATATGCAATATAAAGTAATGAGATATTGATTTTTACCTATTCATCAAAATTTTAAAAGATTAACAATGTGCAGTGTTGACAAAAGTCAGGGTTATACATATACGTAAACACTTATCTACACCATAGGGAGCTATGTAAGTTTATAAAAACCTCTATAAAGCAGGATCTATCAACCCTTCAAATGCATATACCTTTGATTCTGCAATTTTGCTTCTAAGATTCTACCCTACAGAAAAATCGGACATATAAATAAAGATATAGCCTACGGAAAAATTGGACATATAAATAAAGATATGTTGCAAACATAATTGGACATATAAATAAAGATTCTACCTTACAGAAAAATTGGACATATAAATAAAGATATACGTGTAAGGACATTCATCACTGTACAGTTTTATGAGCAAACTGAAAATAAGCTACATGACTAAAGTAAGTTATGGCTCTCGAATAACATGCAACTGCTAAAAGGAATGCAGTCACAGATTTGTGTGAACTAAGAAAGACTTCTGACACCTTGTTAACTTTAAAAACCACAGCTTAAAAAAAATTAAAAAATTAAAAAAATAGAAATATGAAAAATGTGTCTCCATTTACATAAATTTGTAAGCACATATGCATAATTTTGCACATGACAAACATCTGTAAGGAGACATAGGGACAGCAGTTACTCATGGAGCTGGTAATTAGGTGGTAGAAGAAAAGATTCTAAGGGTGACATCTAATTTTGTACCCAATAAATACCAAAAAAATAGCCAATGCACATGGCCAAGAGATGAAGTGGCACGGGTGGCAGATGGGACATCAGTAGTGCAATTCACATGTATATCTCAGTTACTACATATCTGCATGTGTATGTATGTACAGGGTAGACACAAAGTTTGTGTGTAATTTAAAATACTTTAACAGCCTCGGCCCTCAGTGGTTAGGCCACACACATTGAAGTTGGTGGTTGGAACCCAGCCCAGGCCTGCTAAACAACAATGACAACTGCAACAAAAAAATAGCTGGATGTTGTGGCAGGCGCCTGTAGTCCCAACTACTTAGGAGGCTGAGGCAAGAGAATCACTTAAGCCCAAGAGTTTGAGGATGCTGTGAGCTGTGACGCCATGGCGCTCTACCAAAGGTGACATAGTGAGACTCTGTCTCAAAATAAATAAATAAATAAATGAATAAAAATAAAATAAAATAACTTCACACAGTAAATTGCACACAAACTTTATGTCCACCCTGTACACACACACACATTTTTATATATAATTCTATAAACAACCTCTAATTACATAAATTCATACCATAGAAGTTCTAATTTTAAATCATTTTCAAATATAAAATTAATACATCTTAAATGTAGACAATTTGAAAATTGAGGAGAAATATAAAGGAAAAATGCAAACCACACATAATCCTCCTTTCAATACATTCCTCTGTACATTTTAGCTGATATCATTATATTCTTCTGTGAGTGCATGTAATTTTATTTTATATACATAGGCTTTATTTGTATTAAACATGCAATATATTTTGAAGCAAACAGAAGTTGGAACACAAGTTGGAATAAGATTTATTTTAGACATGGATTTAAGACTGAATGGCTCCATATTATTTGCATAATTAGATTCCTGGGCACACATTTCAATATTCAATAAATATGTAGTAATCTAGTAAATACAGGGGAAAAAAACTTTTTGAAAAATTCCCATGGGAAATTTAGGCCATTTAGTCCTTCAAACAATCCCATTATACAGAGATATGTCACTCAATGGCTAGATAAATATAAATCCACTAAGTGACTGTGTATAATTTTAGAAAGTTAAAATATTTTTTCCTATTCTTATGCATATGTGTTTCCATCATTTGCAACTATGACAGCTAACATTTATTGAGAGTTTACTATGCTTGACCTTCTGGTAAAGGGTTTTACACATGTCCTCTAAATCTGTATAACCTTGAGAGCTCAGTATTACCACCCCCAGATGTAAAAACTGGAGCTTAGAGAAGCACAAAACTTTTCTCTATCTGATACAGCCGGCAAATAACAGAGTTTGGACCTGAAGACCACAAAGTTTACATTTTCTATCCTAAACTATCTTCCAAAACAACACTTAAAGGCTATGTAGTTTTCAATATATCATGTACTATAATTTTTTTAAACCAATTATTTATTGTTGGATACCTCAATTGTTTTTGTAAATTTTGCGGTTGCTAAATTAATATTTGCACCCATATTTGATGATTTCCATAGAATAAATTTTAAGAAGTGGCATCACTGGGTCAAATGGTGTGGTATGGAACCAGCATTAAATAAGAGAGCTTAGCTAACAGTCTACCAACTCCAAACTCTTTTTCTCATGGGTGTGCAAGTGTTTCCTCTTTCTGTCTCACACACACATGATGCACATCCATAAAGAAAATATTCTACACGTTTCACTAAATATATTTTCAAAACTATGGATGAGAAGGGGACATGAGGAGGAGAAAAGAAGCCGCCAGTGGCTGCTTTGGTGGCTTCGGAGGCATTGGGATCACCCCAAGTCCTCAGTGTCTTCCTCTTGGGAAAGCACTGGGTTTGGGTAAAGGGTGGAGTTTAAAATTAATGTGCTGTCAAGTGACAAAAACAGCACTGTTTACATAAAAACATTTTTCTAATTCTATCAAGTTAGAAGTGAAAAGGAATGGGCATGGATGTTTACAAAGCTGTTCAGAGTGCTGGGCTGGGGTTCCCACGTGGGGGTGGTGGTAGATCGAGGAGGAAAGATCCCTAAAGAGTCTTGAAGACAAGGCTTTGCGCCCTGTGTGGGGCTTACCCTCATATTCATAATCTCAGTCTATGCAGTGATCAACCACCACAGAAGCAAACGCCTCTTGTATTGTCATGTACATAGTCCATACTTGAGTGTTCCAAATAAATTGTTCTGTGTGTATAAATAAAACAAACTTGGTTTTGATCTTCTATAAATAAATAAATGAATAGATAAATACACTTACTACTTTCCTTATCTTTGTGTATTTACTACTCAGGAAAAAAGTAGAAGGAAAATGGATGTCTTTCGTTAAAAAAAAAAAAAAAGATTGTTGTTTGGAAATAACAATATGTCCCACTGCTGACTAACTTATTTTTGAGTATTTAATAACACAGAAAATGGAGGAGGAAAATGGATATCTTCCTCTCTTAAGATAAAAGAGCTTATCTTTTAGGTACAACAAGGCACTCTGCCAGATGTAAGTTTTTTTTTTTGTTTTTTTTTTTTAAATCTAGGAGTAAAAATAGTTAAGTATGCATGTGATTGATTTAGTCCCTCTTGGAAGTTTCCAAGAAGGTACAGAGAAAGGAGCTCTTCCTCACAACTCTTTAGTCAGAATACCTTGGCAACTGCTGTCATAGGCATGGGCCTTGGAAAGATAAAAGGCAGCATGACTGTGAGTAAATTCTGCTGCCCTGTGCCCCAGCATAATCGTGTGATCTTAAAAACCTTCCCATCTCATGGTTGGGGCATACTCACACTTGTTGAAAGAATTCTCTCTGGTTTTATCAGAGTTCCAGTGCAGTGTAAGAAGAGAAGCAGATCATTGTCGTGATACCCTAATAGTAGCTGAGTCAACTATAGAACATTCTAAATGAGAGATGGGAGACCTTCGAGAGTTGATGATACAAGTTAAAGTGGCTGCTACAGGACATGCTCTTCTGAAAAGAGAGGGACCTTTGACCAGAAGTCCTTTGCTTTGTGCCCTGACCTTCTGAAGATAAATAAAGGTACTTGATTATGTCACTGGCAACAACTTACTTCATTACTCAGAAATTTTAATAATATAAATCACAAAGATGCAATTAAAAGAATACAGACTTCATAAATAAGGGGCTTCATTGTGCTGAATTATTTTTCCTCATGTATTGCCCTGTTTTATTTTTATGAATTGTTCTTCCCTACTATTACTGAAATTATTTTTGTTCATGTAAAAGATACATTTCTAAATTATTGCTCATATTACTATTGATGTATAGCTATGTTAGAAATACTATTCATTCCATTGCTATATTCACAGCTGGTATTAAATATGCTGTCAAGGTACACTGAAAGCAATGTTCAGTTCATTTAAGAAAGCCAAAGGAAATGGTGCAAGAAGAATGCATGAATCTAGTTTCTGACTCTAATATTCTGTTTGTACATGCTGTGTCTGAGTTGTGTAGGCATAGCTCAGAATTATACCAGCCTCAAGGATTTTTATCAGGCTGTTGGGTATTAACTGGGTCATCTGGATTTTATATCACTCTTTCAAAGTGATATAGGCCTACATATCATTTAAGTAGTGGGGAATGTATCAAAGGCCACTTGGAAACACTCAAAACACATGAGTAAACAGAAGGAATTTAGCCTATTGGGACAGCTAAGAAGCAAAACAGAAGATCCTGAGGTAACCCAAAGATGGACCATAGCAGGAAGCCAGTACTATGCCTAAGCCAAAGAGACAAAAGAGGAAAAGCTACCAGCGCCCAGAGGCCAAGTCAATGAGCAGAAGCTGGAACCACAGCAGGCCTGACCTACTCCAGCTGAAGCCATAAAGGCCACCTGGCTGCTGACACAGACACTGGAAAGAGAGCACCTTGGAGGGAAATGCCCTGGATTTCCCGGCTTTTCACCTTCTACTTCTCCACCAGTGCCTCCCATTGAGAGCAAGCTGACCTGGAGGCTGGAAAACGCAACCTGCAAAGGGTCAGCTCCCCTGTCATCTAGAGCAAGAGCGAGGCAGTGATGAGAAACAGGCCAGAGACCATCCTATAAGGAAGAGGGTGTCAGTAAGTTAAGGTTTGTGTGCCTTCAACTGATCACAGTACCAGACGGATTATTGTTTGGGCTGGGTTTCATGTTTATGTGTCCATGGATTCACTTGCATTTCTATTGAAGTCTTGGTTTCCTACATTTAAGAAACCAAACATTTACTGGAGAGCTTACTGTGTGGTAGGAACTGTTTTGTTGTTGCTGTTTTACTTTGTTTTGATTTTTTTTTAACCAGGTCTGGGAGGGAGAGGATTACAAGTAATGCTCATCCTGTAACATCCTAGAACCAGAATAAACTGGCAATATATATTAATAAATTGGCCTCTTTTCTACTGAAGTATAAAGTGCCCTCAAGTGGGAAGTTTTAAAAAGACTTCTTGTAGCACAAGTCTTTTTCCTATTTTTGTGTCTTATGTGAACTCTACTGGCTATAATTCTGAAACCAAATGAGGCGAGGTCTAGCGCTCTTTATCAAGCATACATTTTTATTGTCTATACCTCTAATTTGTTTCCCAGAAATTTTTCTGATGTTAAAAATTGCAGGCTATAACTGAAGAAAGAATAAGAATATTTTTTTCAGACTGTCAATTCTGCTTTGGCCAGAAGAAATGATTTAATAAATGTATCTGTTTCAATATGTAACTTTTCTTAACAGGAAATCTCTCCACCAACTAAATAAATGTTAAGTAGATGTGGAAATAAGTCTATACTTATTAGTCTGCTATGCAACCCCATCATCTTAGTTCAGCCCTCATCCTAGCTGTGATGTTGTTGGAATCTTGCCGAAGTTTCTCCATCTGTGTTTTCTCTTTTGTGAACTGGATGGAGCATGGTATCTGGAACAGCTGGGCCAAAACATCTGCAGTGACTCTGAAAGAATTTACACTTCTTAAGGTGGTAATGGAAACAGCAGAGCCCACCAGCCTGGACAACGTTGTCTAGAAGCCAGGCACCTTGAGAGTTTGCCAAGGCAGCTTAGTAAGTTCTACCTCTGCTCTAAGGCCAGGAAAGTGTAGGAGGATACAGGAGTTCTAATAAGCACTTGCAAAGCAAATTATTACCCAAAGATTAACAATCATCTAATAAATTTAATTTTTAGAAATATTTAATTAAAAAAATACCTGTAGACATTGAGCTCCTGGATATTGGTAGTATACACGAGCTGCGCCTAAGACACATAAGTGACAGAGAAGAACAGATAATGAATTTCTGTTATTAGTTTACTGGTGTTTATTGACATCTAAAATTAGAGCATATCATAGCTTCCAAAACGGACCGATAACTAGCATATCTCTGACATCTCCTTTCATACGCCAGAGGAATTACCAGCCACTCTGCCAAGAAAGGCCAAATTCTAAAAACAGAGTGGTTCACATATAAACAAGTACTAGTAGCCCCTCCTTGTTTAAAAAGCATGAAGTAGAGAAGCAGACCATCCTCAGGTGGAAAAAATAAAAACAAAGTGAGTTGAAGCAAATCCCCTTTAGATGGGATAGTGCCTATGAGAAGACTACAACACAATTAAACTTAACATATGAAAATAAATAATATGTGACTCCAAAGGTTAATTGGCCAGAAATGCATTTATTTATTGAGTGCTTGGCATGTGCCAGAGGTAGACACACAGCAGTCAGAAAATAAAACAAAATGGCCAGGCACGGTGGCTCATGCCCGTAATCCCAGCACTTGGGAGGCTAAGACAGGTGGACTGCCCAAGCTCACAGATTCAAGACCAGACTGAGCCAGAATGAGACCTCATCTAGAAAAATAGCTAGGTGTTGTGGTGGGCACCTGTAATCCCAGCTACTCAGGAGGCTGAGGCAAGACAATCACTTGAGCCCAAGAGTTTGAAGTTGCTGTGAGCTATGATGCCATAGCACTCTACTCAAGGGTCACAAAGTAAGACTCTAGCTCAAAAGAAAAGAAAAGAACCAAATAAAAACTCACTACTCTAGAGCTCACATTCTGATGGTGAGAAACAGATAATAAATACATTAATATACTGTAAAACTAATCAGGGTGGTGAGAGATGGAAAGTGGGAGAGAGAGGGCAATTACAAATACATTAATCTGGGAAGGACTTACTGAGAAGAGCTCACTTGAGCAAGGACTTAGAGTAGGTGAAGAAAGTAAGCAGACATGTGGGACAACATGATCCAGGTAAAAGGAGGGGAAGCATCCTGTAGCATCTGTTAACCAACAAGGAGGCCAGTGTGGCCCAAGCAGAGTGAACCAAGGAGACAGGGGCAGAGAGCAAAAGGAGCCAGATCATATAGACAGAGTGGCCATATAATTTATTTTCAAACTGGGATACTTGGGGGGGGGCAGGATCTAAAAATAATTCATATATATAATTTCTGAAAAAGTATTTGTTGACAAAAAATTTAGTTTTATTATATTGATGAACCTATCAAATAATTCTATTCAAAACTTATTTTTAAAATAAATTTTTCCTAAAATATTCTTAAATAACACAAAGCTATGAATATTAAAAAATAAAATGAAACTCATAATGATTACATGAATATTTTAAAATAGCATAATACCATACTGTTTTGGTTATATAACCTTGCAGTATAGTTTGAAGTCTGGTAATGTGATACATCTAGGATTGCTCTTTTTGCTTAAAAATTAATGGAAATCAAGCAGGGGGAGGAGGAAGGAGGGGTTATGAAAAACCTACCTAATGGGTACAAGGAATGCTACCTGGGTGAAAGGCATACTTAAACCTTGACTCAGGCATTACCAAACAATGTATGTAACCAAAAACATTTATACCCCCATAATACCTTGAAATAAAAAAGAACAAAAAATAAATAAATAAAAATGGCACAAATAATTACTCTTGATATGTAGTCACATACTTTAATTGGTTATTTGGCCATTATAGTCTCTAACATTGTGATATGAACGTTTTTCTGGAACATGTATTTTTTTCAGTATGGTGTTATTGTTTCCATAAAACTGCAATCTTCTTCAAAGCTGCATTTTATGGTTAATATGTTTGAAGTGGATACTTTAAATTGCTGTTTCTCTATAGATTTTTTTTAATTGAGAAAATAATTCCTTTCTAGATATTGATGAACCAATAAGTTCAGAATAAATTCTGCTAAATAAATCTTCTCAATTCTATTTTTTATGTTATAATGTATAAATATTTTAGGCCAATATTTTTATAGGTACAGTCTTTCTGCCTTCATCCAGAGCACCTTTACTCAGTAATATCTTATAAGACAAAACTTTCAAATTGTCTCTGTGATTTGTTTTAACATTTCACCAAATATAGACACTGCAAAATTGTAGCTTTTCAAAATTTCATTCCATTTTGTTGGAGAAATAGAAATTGACTCAATTCAAATTAGAAGTCTAAATTCATCTATGTCAAAATTCTTCTGAAGCAGAATTTTCAAATTAGGTAAATAAACCCTATCAGCTTTCATTTTTTGCTTTGTTATATTTCTCCTCAGCTTTTGTACAGAGAAATTTGAGCTTCTTTCTTTTTGCATGTTTTGTTTTACGTGATTGGATTTCACGAAAACCTCAAAAGCTGTATTTTCATGCTATATTCATTGACTAATTTGATTAATGATTTCCAACTTATTTTGCACATAATGCATTCTAAATTTGGGCGGCTTTACAAGTGGTGTTTCAAAAGCTCAGGCATTTTCAAAATCCAACTAATATTAGACAACACAGAGAAAAAAATACACATAGCCATGCTCAAATGTTTGTATGGGGTCTGATATTAGCTTCTGTCACAAAAGTTTTGTGAGTCAGTTGCTTATATAAATACAAATTTGTAAGTTTCGGCAATTACAGTTTCTATTTTGATTGGTAGACTACTGCACATCACAAGCAATCCCAAATACGTTTAAGTTCCATACATTTTTGAATGGGTAAGAACACTTTTTATTACAATGCTGTGCTCCACCAACATTGACATTCACATTCTAATTTTCAATGTTGAACTTTTCAATAAATTTACAATGGCATTAACAATGTTAGATGTTTCATTTTTGACCAGAGTATCAACTTCCACATGTTTTGTTTTGGTCCTGTGAATTGAATGAAAAATAAAACTGTGGCTGAGTGCCTATAGCTCAAGTGGCTAGGGAACCAGCCACATACACCAAAGCTGGAGGGTTCAAATCCAGCCCGGGCCTGCCAAACAACAATGACAACTAAAACCAAAAAAAAAATAGCCAGGTGTTGTGGTGTGTGCCTATAGTCCCAGCTACTTGGGAGGCTGAGGCAAGAAAATTGCTTAAGCCCAGGAGTTAGAGGTTGCTGTGAGCTGTGATGTCACGGCACTCTACCCAGGGTGACAACTTGAGGCTCTATC